CTTGATATTAAATTTAATACACGAGAATAGACTTTATTTGTAAAAATACTTCCTCACTGAGATAAAGTTGAAGCTCTCGTAAGGTCTCGTAAACGGCATTTGTAGAGGATTGTCCGTTGTGCATTATCCTTTTCTTAACGAAAATGAATCCTTGATAACGAGCATAGAGGCTTGTTAATCGATCGAAGAACAAGAAAGTGTATGAATTTGTTGTTTTGGGAGTCTATCACTCTATCACTCGTCGATAATGTAGCTTTCTTACAAGCTAAATTTTTTTGCGATTGTTTTTCTCGGTTGCTTGAAAACGGAGTGGCGAGCTAACTTTTTTTGTACAGGAGAAACAGATTCAATGAAAGCACCGAAATCAAGCAAGGTACCCAGTTCGTTTGAAAGGTTATTTTAATGTACAAGAATAAAATTATCTTCCAAAAAGTCTTTGTTCTAGTATTAACTTTCTAAGATACTTTAGTATTTTCGGAACACATATATCTATTAAATTTTTAGTCTCGTCCTGCAGTCTCACGTGCAGCCTTATTTAAAATTAAAGAATTTCTTACACTTGAGAATCTGCAATCTGCATTACGTGTGACACCAATTAATTTTACAGAGTGATTATATTTATTAATCTCGTAGTTCATGAAGCAAGAGTTTAGTCTAGAGTGACCAAAACATGTAGATGTGGTACAGTGTACTCGGACTTAAATATTTTGTATTGTGTCAGGTTTGGTTCCTGTCTACATTAAAGCAACAGTGCATACAGTTCGTAATCAAATTAAATTCAGATTAAGTTCAATTAATTAAAGGGCTCGTTGGCACGAAAACTTGGCTGAGATCTTCTGGCAATATATACTTCAAAAGTAAATTTTCTCAACGAAAAAAAGGTTGTATCTTCCTGCAAGGGAGGGTAAAGTTGTATTGGACAAAGCAATGCAAATATAATCCCTTTTTAATTAGCATGGCAGCAAGCAACCCTAAATGGGAATTATTATTAATTTTTAGCATGATTGTTCCGTACTAAAATTTCTTTCCTGTATTTTATTCGTGAAAGGTAGACATGCGTGTGTGCATGTGTGCTCGTTGCCTGTATTTGGTGTACACACGTAAGCTTCTCTCTATATTACCGGCAAATACTTCCATGTGACTGAGCTTGCTTGTTTGTTCATAGCCAGGCCACACAGGCAAAGGACCAAGAGAGGGCGTGTGAGGGGGAATTGCTGTACCGCACATATCCATACTATTTACAGCAACTATAAACTCTTGAGCGTAGACTCCATTATCGCTCTCTGGTTAACGGGCTAGCTCACTCGCTTGGTCCCTTTCCCAGAGCTGTAGCCTAGTCTCCATATTATTCTCGCGCGATCTACAGTTTCTACCGTAATTAAGCACGGTGTGTATATGCCTACTTTTATTACGTACTTGGCGTTCATTTTTTTAAAATAAGAGCTCAAGTATAAACTCCGTAATATAGGTTACACATTAAATATTTTTCGGAAATTTTAAGAATACAAATAATGGTTCGTGTAAGTGTATGACCTTTGACTGTGACATCTGATCATTAGGAAATTAAAAAAAATTAAATGTATTTTTTTTATTACAAACATTCTACTACATGTACTCTTTCAAGAAAAAAACATCTTCGTTTATTTGAAATATACTCCATAAAATCAAAAGTTTTTGTTTTGTAAAATATTATTTATCAGTATTAGTTTGGTTTTTCCAGATTTTTTGCTACAGTTTTAAAGGACTATAAAAATTTGGAAGAAAATGATAATCTATAAACACGTTCTTTAAATGAAATGATTGATTGTTTTTGAAAAAGTTACAAAAAAATTTAAGTTGTGATTTGTTAAAAGATATTTACCTAGCTTTATCAAGAAAAAAAATTCGATAAAAAGCACAGAAAATTCTACCTTTACACAGATTTCGGTACTCTCTTAATAAAGGTTCAATAAAGAAAAAACGATATGACAATTCGTTCGACGTACAGACGAAACACGGTTTGATAGTGACGCTCGACTTTTAGGTCGGCGGTGTTCGCAACAGACGTTAGCTATATTTAAGCTAGTAATTACGTCGTATAGTGAAATCGTGCGCTCATGGCACTCGCATATTCACGTTATACGCGTACCTGCAGCCGTTAAAGTTCAGCTCGTTGGAATGGAACATCGACTATTCGTATATGTATACGTATGAGCTCGTGCACATATACGCACACAATCGTACGGCCATACGTGTCTGTATGCCACAAAATTTATAGGAAAGTTTTCCGCGTGGATGGAATTTTCGTTGGTAGAAAAGGCAGAAAGAGGGAGAGAGCGAGAGAAAGGGCACGGGAGGAAGGAAAAGAAAGTCGGAAATTCTAAAAGAATTTATAAATGATTTTTCGAGCTGAAAAAAACGTATATTTATGCATATACATATATATACATAGCTCTAGCAATGTAAAAGAAGAAAAGATAGCAGGGCCAAATAACACGGGTGTTCGAGAGAAACTCTGACGTGTATGTTCCAGAGTATATATGAGCATTTCGTGAGCGCGAAGCAACACAGAGAGTATAGAGGGATACTATCAACGCTCTATTTTATACATGTGAATTTCAACACAAATATTCAGCAGAGCTGCAAGCTCACACGCGCTCGCAAGCATAGAGAACAACGAATTAAAAATTTTTGCTGTTACAGGAAAGAGATAAAAACAAGAGCTTTGCTGCAAAAGAGAGAGATGGAGAGAGAGAGAGAGAGAGTGAGAGCACAGCCTGTGGATGAGTGCCACCTTCCAACCAAGAATTTCAACATATGCACTTAACATACATAGTCGTACACTGGGTTTGTTGCAGTTTTTTGTATTTTTTTTTCTATATGCTTTCACAGCTTGGACGCGGTATTTTTTCTCCTTTCTTCCACTGTTTCTATTTAATTGCGCTTGTCTCTGCGTAAAATTTAATATTTCGGAAAGCTTTTGCACGCATTATAAAATGTGAGAAATATCGCGTCAAAAAATTAGGTGATTTAATCTTTACTAATGTTAAAATGTGGGACAATATTTCAATTTGATTGTTTTCAAAGTGAAAAGATGTGAAAATTTCAAATTTTAAAAATCATAAACTTATGACAATTTCAAATACGATCCACAACTTTCAAAAATTGATCATTTAAAAAATTTATATCAATTTCGTGCTGTTTAATGTTCTTTGCCATACACACACTAATGAGCATGAATGTATTCTTTTTTTTTCGAAATATAATAACTATATTATAAAAATTAGATACAATATATCATAAAGAGTAAGCTTATCAGTAATACACGTTTCAATATAATTACAATACAATTATAATACAAAATCCAAGTCTAGCATACATTTTTTTGTCACATTATTTATTACTTATTTGGATAGATAACAATATAAGTTTTAAAAATATTTATCAAATATATTCATATTAAAAAGTGTTGGAGCATTTGAAACTATGCGATTCATGAAAAAGTATCTCCATCATTCACAAATATAATTCGTACGATAAGTAAATTTCAGAGTAAATGAAATTGAGATGAAAATCATCTCATAAGGCATTCGAAGGAATGCTATTCTATAAAGCTTAACTAGTGTAAAAATTCGAATAATTTCTAGTGAAACACGCGCAAATATATATGGACGAGCGAATACAACGCGCGCACGCGACATACAACTCATAAAAGTTTACTCGAGCTTGAACTGAAAACGACAGTACACACGAGTAAAATCACCAAACAACTGCATACGTAGGTATATGTATATGCGTCAACAGCAGCAGCAGCAGCAGCAGCAGCAGCAGCAGCAGCAGCAGCAGCAGCAGCAGTAGCAGTAGTAGTAGTAGTAGTAGTGACGGCAACGGCGACTAAAAAAGATTGTGTATATGCATCGCTGCCCGTTATACATTAAGCACATATACGCCGCAGATAAATGCCGTCAGTGTTAATAAAGTCTTATCGGTATGCAGCCATGCGTGTCGACTTAAGGCCTCACACATGTACATGCACAGCCCCACATATCCCCACGTACGTATATAACCCAGCCACACGCAGAACGAGCATATAGATAGTATATAACGTACGGACTAATCTGGCCATGCTAATTTCCAGGCGAACTTTAGGCAGCCCAGGCTGACTTATACACGTAGAGAAAATGCTGCCTTACGAATATTGCAGTACTGTACTTTTATAAATGTTGTACGCAAAACATAGTCGCACCACGTCGCAAAGAGAGCGAGAGAGAGCTGAAGGAGAGGGAGAGAGAAAATAACGCGCGCGCTAGCGTATTACGTGTAGCCGAGTACAGGGGGTAGAGTGCCTAGGCCGGAGGTGAGCACAAAATGACCGGTCGTAAAGCTGTGCATGCGAGGGAAATAAGGCAGAAAGGAAAAGCAGTCATGGCCTCGAAACAGCGGCGGTGGCGGTGGCGGTGGCGGCAGCAGCAGCAGCACGCGCAGTTCTGTGGAGCACGTAGGTGTTTGTAGGGTAATTGTTGCATCGCGGTGGCGAGCTTGCAACGCCGTGCAAGCTGTACCAAAAGCAACGACCAGACAAGGGAGGACGAAAAAAAAAGAACAATCCAGCGCTCGCAGCACGCTTACACGATATATTATATAAAAAAAGCTTGTTTTTTTCGCCGTGTGGCTCGAGCCTGTGCAACCGTACTGCCACGCGGTGTACGCTCCACTGCTACTTTATTCTTTAATGTGCTCGAGACGATGATGAATGAGAACGTTTATGATATTATCACGTCAATTTACTTTTTGAACTTGCTGACTGTGTATGTATGACATGGTTAGAAAATCGGGGTTGTAAAAAAAAATTAACACGGTGTTTGATGAAAATGATTAAGAGGCTGAGCGTTGCATACGGTGTGTTACACGCACTCGGCGTACATGGCATGTACGTAATCGCAATAAATAAAGACGCTCCATCTATTTGATAGTATATTTTTTTTTAGCTCAAAAAGTTTTCGTTGCGCGTTCGAGCAAGCTTACACACTTTTTTTCGCCAAATAGGCTTTCTTATAGAAATCCCAAAACATGTAAAATATAACGAGCACGTTTGTCATGTAGATGTATGCTAATGGCTTCATTTTTGGCTCGCACGAGGGCATCAAAGCTTGTGAAGTGTGAATCACCATGATGACAAACTGCGTCTACAATTACATTTTGAGAAAATTATGAAAATTTTTTTTTAACGCGTATTTGATGCTTGATGGAGGAAAAAGTTTCGTACCAGTTGAATCATCGTCAGATACGGCTTCAAAGGAGCGAGTTTCTTTTGCATTTTTGGTCCCAGGCAGGCTAGCAGGTAGTACGAGTACATGATGACGTGAACGAGGCAATTAGGCATCATGATGAAGGTCCACATACCACCTGAAACATAACAATCGGTACTGAGCAGACGGTCGATTAAGTTCAAGTCGAAACTTGGCTATTAAATGATCGCTTTGGAATATCTGTGCCGCGAGATTTTTACGTCTCCGTCTTTATTAAAGCAGCATGACGTTGCACCTGGAGCATATTTGCAGGCTATCCAAGCGAGGCACACTGTGGTGACATGATGATAAATATGTAGGAAGGAGCACTGATTGTACTTTTTCCTGAGGACAAAAATAACGGTATCGCCGAGCTCGGCCATTTTCAGCAATAATATCCACCAGACCCATCTTGCCATCTGTCGAAACAAAAAAAAAGTTGCAATACTGTAAGTTGGTCACTTGCTTTAAATAAGACGGGCTTCGATTTAAAATAAAATTAAACTTGACTTACACTTATAGCTTCTGGATTTGAGGAATAATCCACTGGTTCACATCCCCAAGATAATTTTGTCGTAAAACCAGACGTAAGTAGCTGGAAAAAGAAACGCGTGACTTTTATGATTACTTGCAAAAAACTTAGTCCTTATAAGATTAGAATCTAGGGATATAGTGCATATAAATTCACAGAATGAATTTACGAGTGTATGAAAAAACGTAGCTTCACATATATTTTAATGAAAACCTTTTAGTACAAGATTGTTAATGCATCTTCACGTACATGTACAAGATTGCTTGTCATTCAAATGGTTGTAAAAATTATGAGTAATATAACACTATATTTATGAAAACTCACTCCGTAAAAAACAGCTGCACTGCAAACGGCAACGGTGACATTGTAAATTATCATAAACTTATAAAGAACATAAGGCTCTCGATTTCGCATGAATCTTGGTCCGATATGTAGTATAAAAAGTAAGTAAGCAAGCAAAATCAATAAGACGGGAAATGGGCTGGCCATCATCGGCCAATCAGCCACTCTTGGATCTGTAAAATAATCATATTAGATTGATTAAATATCAATGAAAGATAAATTTAAAGGGAATTTGAGTCAGTTTTTTATACAAATTATAATATTCGAGAAATGTTCAGCCGTACAATTGAAAATATTGTGTACGTTAATCCAAAAATGTCCTACTTGCGCGCATTGTGTATAAGGGTTTCTTCTTCAATATTCATCGGCATCTCACTGGATCAAACGATAATTAAGACTGAACTAGGACGATGCTCATGAAAAATATATAAGACACACACGATACATAATGCGCGCGCGTTTTATGCAAAGTAAAATCTACTATTCTGCTCACCTGATATTTCCTGCACGAGGTAGTGGTATACCTCCGCGGGCCCCATATCCTGTCAATCAAAACAGATCGATATTAGGCGATACGATGCATGCAAGTATTATGCGCATACAATTGTACACGCGCAGACACACTCGCAAGTACACTCACACACGAGAAAGGTCAAAAGACGGAGCACAAAATCTTTCTTGCTCGATCGATTCGCACGCGAACTTATTTCAGATCGGTACAAACAACGACTTCTTCCCTTTTTTTTTCGGACAAAAAAATAAAAGGGTCACGTTTATTCTACGAGCCCAACGAAGTATATAATTGTCGATGTAAACTAGAAGATAATATCATTAAAATTGCTAGAACTATATTGAACACTTCGACTTGATTGGGCTAAAAAAAGGTTTATAAAAATATATCCCAACTGTGTATGCATGTGTAAGCGGGAGATTGAAGTACGAGAGAGGAGAGTAATCGACTAGACCGATCCCTTGGCCGTTGCACGAACACTATATACGCGCGTTTACGCACACGCATGCTAAGAGCCGATCGGGAAATGAACAAACTGACAAGCCAACGGAAGCGACAGGAGGCTGTATGGGTGCGTGCGTGTGCTCGTGCGTGTCACACAAACTCCACGTGCGAATCGTGCAGTAGGACCCAGTGCGAACGACCATGTGGACGCGCGACTATAGCGAGAGGAATCGAACAGCGGGCTCCCCTCTAACTCCCTCTTTCCATCTGTGCGCGTTCGCTGCATTATGCTTCTCCTGCTATCGCTACGATGCGCTTCTGCTGTTGCTTTCCTGCGGCGCACGAGAAATTGCAACGCACACGCATTGAAATCAAGTCGTCGTCGCAGCTCGCTCATTCTAGCTTTTTCAAGTCCCTCGAGCTTCATCGAGAGTTATTATTCATTGACGTGGAACGTTTCGATGGCGTTGTTACTTGGAAGAATTGATTATTGACTGTTCTTGGAAATACCTAATCTCATAATGCATATGCGTGTCATGACGACCGAGACTTATCAAACACCTGAACTTCGGAAAATTGATATAAATTGAACAAGTTTACAAATTGAAATGAAAAATTCGAAGAATGCGAAAATTATGAAATTTTGATTTGAGAATTAAAAACTCAACGTTTGACTTATTAAAATTGATGACAGTATGCTTATTGAACGTATTGTAAAAAGGGCGTTATTATTTCAAATGTTAATAAAAAGTTTCATGAACTGTTCATAGATTGACTCTTGGTTAAGTAAAATCCAATTAAAAGGGTTTCCCGATGTCCCAATAAAACTTTTGTCCAAGTTTATTTTCGTCTACGACATAATACTGCCTCGAAGTGCTCGAAGCAGAGTCTGTATATATTTTTATAATTGGCAGTTTGAATCAGTTGCAGCAGCAGCAACGGCACAGCGATATACAGCAACTCCACAAGCTTTGCTTACCCCGTCTGCATAAACGCCGGAGCTAATCTGCTATATACATTCGTTGTATATATAGCGATCTGCAGTGCGTATACGTATGTGCGCTCGTATGCATTATCAAGCGTTTACGGTTACTTTAACTTGTAAAACTTTATTTTCGAGCGCTCGACGCGAGCAAACGGCAGGGCCAAGTGGACCAATGGCAAGTCCGATTAACAGTGGTCCAAGAGCCGTATATATACAGTTTGTACCATTTCGCGAGATAGATAATTCAGAGCAAAAGTTCGCTCGCGCGTTCGATGTTCGATACCGCGGCTGCTCCTCTTTTGTTCGCGATAAATTTGACTGCGGGCGCGGAACAAAAAAGTTGCCAACCGCACACTCTGGCCCCCGCGCCCGTATTTCGATCGCGCACATTCATATATACTTTCAAACTGAAATTGCGGCATTGTATATGTATATCGTACCTTTCGTGTATAATCATTTAAATATCTTGAAGCGATGGAAGACACAGCTGCCGTATTGTGCAGCATGTAGCGCGGAGGGCCTGTGTGCGAGCGCGTCGAGGATCCAATTAAACTTGCTTAACGGCACACGTTAGTCGGAGCTCAACGGCGATAGACAGTTGTGGTGGTAGCAGGAGGCATCAACGATATTCACGCGTACACAGGGTGTTGCCAGTCGTACGGCGCCGATGGCGGCAAACTCGTAGTCGTCGACGTAGTAGTATACTTGCCGCGGTAGTCGAGCGTAATGCTACATTCGTTACAATGTCGCTGCGCGCCCACAGTTGATCGTTAAATTTGATCGGCTCACGTGTAAGCAGTGGCGGCGACGCATCACTGTATTGCAGGCTCGAACGAGAGGATCCTTGACTTCAACTATAAGAAATTACACGAATCGATGTCTCACTAATAAACCATTGTATAATGAAAAAATTATCGAATGTTACGTACTTTGGTGTAGGCGCGACTCGAAAAGCCGAGAGAATTCGAGGGCTCGATCGTCGTCGCGGTCTGGAGTGCGCGTGCACCACCGCAGGTCGTTCAACGAAGAAGAATCGCGAAACTCAGTAAGCGCGCCGAGTGTATTGCTCGCACCGTAACCCAACACACGTATATACGCGAGTGTGTGTGTGTGTCTGTGTATATAAAAGACTATAGCGTCTTTGCTGCAGTGATAGTGGGTGCAGTCGTTGTATATACAGTATGTATCCAGCAGTTGGCTTGCACCGTGTATACGTGCACTGTATACGTTTATCTGCAGGGCGAACAACCCCGCGCGCGTGCCGTGCGCGGTTCGCAGGGCTTACAACACGAGCCGGGGCAGGACCGTAACTAACTACATTTTGCTGCAGAAGACTGCTGCGTGCTGCGAGTATAGTCTGCCGTCTGCAAATTCGCGCTCGAGCCATGCTGCTGTTATTATCGTGCATATACACACGGCAAAATTCTATACGCATACGGGCCGTGTTGCGCCATTTTTATGATCCATCCGGTACTATTTACTTTTCCGTGGCTTGCCATGATTAATTATCGCTGACATGGAAAAATGAACAATTTTTTATAAATCAAACGATACGAATGAGATCCAGATCGAGAAATTATGAGCCAGAATTGGTTGGGAAATTTAAAAAATATGCCGCAAATATTGATAGTTTGAATGATTAATCGAGCAGTCACATAATTTCAATCAAACTGATATATCTCATCAAATTAAATTGCGATCTTTCAATTGTAATAGTTAAGCACAAACGCTATCGTTCACGAATCAAAAACCGAGGCAATTATAATTTACTCAATCAGATGCATCAATCAGTTTGGAAATTTTCATACTGCCGAGGAATTAGCTAGTGTTCTGGAGAGCGGTAAAAGCAGCGGATTCGGTTGACGCTCGGCTGGCCGAATAATACAACCGTTCGATGAAAAAAATAAATGCGAACGAAACAAGCACACGCTCGAGGTGGGAAGTAAGCATGAGCAGACGAATCCATCCCTGAGCCAACGGGTTGCATCTAACGGTAGAAGCTATGGTCGCATCAACGTTGTTGCATCACACCACACACACGGGCGTGCAGCAGCACCTAACTCGCGGGGGGTGCGTGCATATGTACACGCTATGTAGGCGGTGGTGGCGGCGGTGGTGCAGACGCAACGCTGGACGGTCGCTGGATATACGGCTTCCCCGTGTGCTGTCATTTGAATCAGGATTAGCAGTGGTAAATGTTGTAGTAGCAGCGTGACCAAAGATCTGCATATATACGTGTCTGGTATACTCATGCATAAAGTCTATATACCCATATACGGACACGCGCATGCACACTCGCTCGCTCACATAGACACTGAATATAATATCTATATAGATATATTATATGGACGTATATTTCTATTGTACGAGGACACGGCGTATCCGAGCGTCCCTCTCTCTTCCAGGTATAATACATGCACCTACGAGCACGCATATATACATTCGTGCGGGCTCGGACGATGAGCGCAAGGGCGAGCTCGAGTACACGAGTTCACCCCCCCTGCATCCACCTTCTACGTGGTGTGCTGTCCAAGCATGCACATCGTAAATCAGGAATTTAGATCCTAACACCACCCCCCTCGCGCTCTTCTCTCGCGATATACTCTTCTACTTAGGCGATTAATGTGCCGCTCGTAATAATACGTTACAGCCCACATTCCCCTCCTCCCTTTACCCTCTCGCTCTCTCATATGCACACACTCTACTTCTTGTTAATTCACGCGCATGCTAATTTGTTTTATCGTATTAGCTCAGCAACGTGCGTATATATATCTATGTGCTGCCCATATTCTCGACTCTATAAGCGATGTATATGCTGTAATAATACGTAAATATCTATAGCTCTGATGGAAAGACTTTCAACCCTCAGAAACTGTACTGAATTTATTAATAATACGCACCTTTTTTGCAAATTTATTTGACTTAAATTTCTCATCAAGTGATTTATGCAGATACCAATTAAATTTCATTACAGCCTTCAAATCCAGAAATTTAATTGAATACTTTTTGTTTCTAAGATTTTTGAATCAATCTGCATGACACGAGGGTGTTGAATGCAAACATAAAAAATGCTCAAAGGAATGTATATAAGCATTTCAGCCCTGAATGAAAACTCAATCAATAAGAAAAAATAGAAAAACATTTCGATCCAAAACTTTTTTATTGATAGATCGGGATTTAGTATATATGCAAATTTAATTTTTTCTGAAATAGGCTAATGGGTTCAAAAGATCAGTTTAGTTCAATTGAATGGTGTAACTATTTATTGTCAAGTCATACTGTAGGCGAAAACATTTTTAGTTTTCGATTTATAAAGGTGACATCTGTACATTTTGTATGGAACTAACATGAACACGTTTTTTTGACCAAACTATTTCAATACCTTCTAATGATAAACTTCAGATGGGTACATATTTTACTACCGTTGAACTAGTTTTTTTTTATCATCAGAGCCTTTTCATTCATTTATAAAAAAATAAATCATTTGAAAATTATAAAATCCGGTAATATTAGAATAGCGATAATAAAATTACTTATAAATATTACATATCGTTTATATCACTGTAGTTACATCAAGAGAATTTATTAATGTTGTTATTTTTGGCACCACAGAAAAATATTGTTCTTTTACTTTTAATTTTATTTGTTAATTAATTACATTTTATTTTATTTGTTTTTGAAAGAAATAATAGTTATGAATATTTTAAGCCATTCGATAAGGGTATTGTTCGGAACCAATACTTTCCTCAGTCGGTAACTACACTTATAACATAATTCACAGCCGGCTACGAAGAATTCTACTAAAGTTTCATAAATAAAGTATATATATTTGTAATGCGAATTCGTTGCGTAAGAAGGCGCAGCATAATTAAATCATTTTTATCAGAAAAATTTTACTAAAAAGCATTAATAATAAACATAAAATTATTCAAACTTATTTTTTGCATTTATCGTTGTCATTATTTAGGTATTAAAAATTGTCCATCACTTTCGATTAGTGATTAGAAAAAATTATGTACTTGCAATTCTCAGATTTTAAATAGAATTATTATTTAAAAGATAACGAAAGTCTTAACGAAATCATCACATAGGTACTTTTTTAAAAATTATTTTACTATGTATAAGATAAACTTAATTTTCAATAGAATTAGTTATAGAAACGAGAAAATGCATTCAACAAATTATTTATTCAAAAAATTATTTTTTGAATGCTCGATAACATTTTTTTCAAAGATATTCAATGTTTTAATTGAAACACATAGTTTTTAAAATTTTATAAACTTAAACTAAATTTACTTCAACCAATTATATCAATTAAAAAATTGGACTATATACGTTTTTACAACAAGATAAAAGTTTTCCTTCTTGTTTTTAGAAAATAAATGATAAAATATAAGAACTAAAATTTAGATAATATTGAGATAAATAATTAACTCTGGATGTATTTCATTGCCACTGTACTTTATAAAATATCAAAGTAATACATAGAAACGTTTTTATAGTATTCAATTCTAGTAATAAATCACTTGTAGCGAAATTTTGTCATAAAATTAAGAAAGGGTTAAGAAAATAAATTTTTTCGTCTTAAATTGATCTAACATCGGAATCATTTACCAAGGTTGTTTTATTTACGATAATTAATCATGAGGAGAATCCTTCTCGTGGCAAAAATAATTTTAAAAAAATATAACTAATGTAAGTTTTTTTTAACGAGTAACTACTGCATAAATACCATGAATATGTCAGTATTAATAACAAATATTCTAACTTTTTTTATCCTTTAATATTTTAGTTCTCATGTATCGGTAGACAAGAGAAAAAAAAATGTAGTTCAAAAACTACTCAATCATTATTTCATATATGCCATGTCAATGTAATTCAAATCATATTAACTCATAAAAAAATTTTAAATTTGTTTTTCGAAGATATTTATCATAAGCAGAGCATTGAATAATTTTCGAATATCCTTTATATTTTTATAATTATGGAGTTATAAATTTTTCAACTAAATAAAACTCTTAAAGCTCGACTATACTTTCCCACTTAGTACAACTAAAGACATTGATTCAAAATATTACCTGGATTTGAATTTGAATTTGATTATTAATGTTCTAAAAGAAATTAAACTTTACAAATAAATTGAAGTATCACACAAAATTATTCTTTGAAAGTTTAACAAAAATGCGTTCGTGCGAATATTTTTATTTTAATATTGTTGAAATAAAAAAATAATATTGTAATAATGCAAAAAAAAAAGTTTAATAATTTTCATTTTAAATTTCACGTTTCAAGCCCTTTATATACATAAAATATATTAAAAAATTCGAGATTTTTTATTCATAAACTAAATTAAAACGTGATATTTACTTCTTTAAAAATTCCTTATCAAAAAAGAAGACTTTTAAGATTTAGTAAAGTCGGCAATAAGAGTGCAGTGTTGCACTAGGGGTAAGCAGCAATTTATGCACAAGTAGAAGTGTCAACACTTGAAATAAAGCATACCCA